ACTTACGTACTTACCTCCTTACCGTCCTTCGGTTCGTCGTTCGTTCTTCGTTCGTCGTTCGTTCTGTCGCGTCGCGTCGTGTGTCGTCGTGTGTGTTGTGTGTGTGTGTGTGTGTGTGTGTGTGTGTGTGTGTGTGTGTGTGTGTGTGTGTGTGTGTGTGTGTGTGTGTGTGTGTGTGTGTGTGTGTGTGTGTGTGTGTGTGTGCGTTTGTGTGTGTGTTTGTGCGTTTGTGTGTGTGTGCGCGCGCACGTGTGTGTGTGCGTGCTGCGTGTGCATGTGTACATTTTTTCGAAAGCATTAAATAGAAGCTCGAAAGTTACACATGTGTAACCTAACAATTTCTCCGACGAGGTTAATAGTGTATTCTGTACATACACGTAGGCCGTCAGTTTAACAAGTACGGAAACAGCGAGCAGTGGTGGAGCCAACGGGATATTGATAGATTCGTAAATAAAGCCAAGTGTTTCATCAAACAATACGACGATTACACCGTCGAAGCGAACGGAAAGATATGGCACGTGAGTGTAGCGCGTTATATCGTATCCCCTATTATCTACTTCTGATAGTATGGCATATATGCACCGCTAACAAATTTTTATAGATTAAAATGATAGTTAATTATAGATAAATGTAAATTTAATAATAATTTATAATATAACGTGTTATAGCGTATATATGTATATATATGAAGGGGCCTATGAAATAGATGAAAGCGCTTGTGTAAAACTAAATGTCGGATTATTCTGTTTTTTAACTATAATATCTGAATATNAGAGAGAGAGAGTAGAGAGAGAGAGTAGAGAGTAGAGAGAGAGAGAGAGAGAGAGAGAGAGAGAGAGAGAGAGAGAGAGAGAGAGAGAGAGAAGAGAGAGAGAGAACTAGATGTACGTTAGGAGTGAATCGTCGAGTTTATTTGCTGACAAAAATAGTCCATCTCCGTCGACAACGTAGAATTTCGCGCATGCAATGCAGCTCGGTTTCCGGGATTGCTTCTTTCCACGTGCTTCCAGTGTTTCCGCAGTCGGTGATGAGAAAATACGGATAGAACGTGAATCAATCAGCAACACATGCAGTTTTAACTTTCGTCGATGTTTTTTGGGGTTATTTCAGTTTTCCCGGCAGGAATTCTTCGGTCGCCGTATTTTTCGAAAGACGTGCCGATGTTTTTGAATTTTGCCGGCATCGGCAGCGCCGTCGCTCATGAGCTGACACACGGATTTGATAATGAAGGTAAAGCGTAAATCGCCAATAGGCGGCGCCAACAGACAGGGCGTAGAACTCTAATCTATTATGAACTTTGTATTAGCATTCGCCTGCTCATTTCGTAGCAATCGAACAGGTAAAATATCATTATCGAAAAAGTATATTAATGTAATTTTGTGTACAGGTCGACAGTTTGACAAGAACGGAAATTTCAGCACCTGGTGGAGTAAAAAAGACAGTATAAACTTTAATAAGAAAGCCAAATGTGTTACCGACCAGTACGATAACTTCACTATCAGTGCCGATGGGAAAGAGTGGCATGTGAGTCTTTTGTGATTGAATAACAATATCACGTAGTAACGTATCAAACCGACAAACCGATCGAAGATCAATACAGATATATCAGATTACATTATGGTGAACGTCACGAACACACAAATACTCTAAAGGATCCCAGAACAACCTTAGGAATTGCTACGTAAATATTTACACGATATACACGATAATATATATTAATTACTACGATTAATGTTATGCTTTCATCGTTTTGAAACGGCTTCATCATTTTAGGTTAACGGCACACTGATTCAAGATGAAGCCATAGCTGATATAGGGGCCGTACGACTAGCTCTTCAGGTAACGCGTAAATATGAATTTATTCATACTTGAATTAGCAGTATTGTTTTATACGTTTACGCTCCAAATTCTTTCGTATGTAAAATGTCCCAATTATTACTTTATTTCTTTATTACTTTATTATTTTATTACTTTATTACTTTATATATTTATAGTAATCGAGATTGACACATTTTCTATTTCAAATATTCTATCGTTTTTAGCTCATCTGACATAGTCAGATGCAGCTTGTAGAATCGCATGATCGTCCGTGCGTCCGTCTGTCCGTGCGTCCGTCAAAGCAGTTGGCTCCACAAATCTTAACCGCTCGAGCGTACGGTGAGATATTCGGGACGTGGGGGGGTTAATCCGAAAACGAGTTGGATGTCGAAGCTGGGGGTCAAAGGTCAAAGGTCAAGAGGTGTAAAAGAAGGGGGAACATTCACTACTCTAATTAAGGTATAGGGAGGGAAATGCAGAAATTGTGGGCACAAATCTAACGGCTCGACCTAGCTCGTGATAGTCGGTGTATAGCATCATGGTAGGAAGGCCATCACTCGTCCGAAATTGGAGGTAACAGGTCAAAGGTCAATGGGCGCACACGGGCAGATTTTAGCACATTTTCTGAGGACATGGTCTGACGAGGCAATTGAAACTTTTTTGTTTCAGCAGTGACCTAGCATTTTTTGGCTTTATTGAAAGGACCATGAAATATGGCTTTCACACTGCGATGCGAAGAGTAAGTGTTGGATAACCTTTTGACGCCTCAGAGCGAGGGTTAAACATTGATTTGTTGACTGTTAACAAAGGGACTGAACTGCTTTTTGCTATTATTAGAGCCCATACCTGTGTCAATGTGAAGGCTACAGTTGCACAGTTAATTGCAAAGGCAAATGTTTGTTGAACAAGGTTACGCTCCGCCTTAAAATCATATCTTTTCTAAAGCAGTCTGTCTATAGCACCCTGCCCCTGGCCTTGAAGGCTGAATGATGAATCAGTGAATGCTCGCATGAGGCAAAACACGGGCATGCTTCTAATCAGTAATTGTTGCCTGGGCAACTGCCAATGCGGCACGTGTTAGACTGCACAGCTGATTAACGTGCACAGGACGAAGCACACTCAAATTATCGCCTGGCCTGAAATATAACCTGTCTTGGATGTTTAGCCTGTACCTACTGTAGGGATTCAGGAATGAGGGCAGATGGCATCTTGATTATTGAGATTACACTTGCGACGCGGAGCCATCTCGGCGCAACTATAGGCGCTAGTTTATAAGGTTAGATTTGTTAATTCATCATGGTAACTTTGTTAAAGCGAATAGATTAATAACTAGTAGGCCGACGCGTCGGTATCAATATATAATATTTACTTTTCATCTTGAATCTTAACATATATCATCGTAGGCTATGGCCGTCGCGTATGACCATCTTAGCCTAGTTTATGCCGACCATAAGGCTGTTACGCATAGAAAATTTAGGTGGCGGGGGCACGGGGCGGGGGCGCGGGGCGGATTGGAGGGGCAGTGAACAAGGCATCATCGCCTGGGGTTTTAAATTTTTTTATATAATTAAGAGAGAGAGAGAGAAAGTCTAAGATAAAAGAGAGAGAGCGAGTAGTAAATTGAGACGGGGACAGGAAACGGTGATACGGTGTTGTATGCGAGCGGAAACGGGTAAGCAATTCACGGTCGTGCGAGATGGGTGTGCAGAGGGGAATTGGAGGATGGGAGGGCAGACCCGGGCGAGGGGAGGGGAGGTCGAAGGCAGGTGGAGGGGAGATGGGAGGGTAAGTGGTGAAGTGGAGACAAGGGGAGCTGAAGTGGAGGCAGGGGAGGGAGGGAGGGAGGGACGGGGGGTGGGGAGCGCAGTGGGGCAGGGAGGTGGGGAGAAGGACTCCCGCCCTGCGTGTAATGTAGTGACTTGGAGAATCCCATGGCTCATATGTTGAAATGCTGTTTATAAGGCGGGATAGATAAAGAATAGATAAGCTGTGGAGAGTGGCTATGAACAAGTTGCGAGAGGAGTGAAAGGCAAGTATCATTTAATAAAATAAACCAAAATCGCATGGGGGGGGAGATAGTGAGCGTGTCCTAACAATGATGTGTACGCAACTGCGTATCTGCATATCTGCGCCTAACAAATGTGTCACTACGCACGACTGAAATTGTACGTTCATAACCGTAGCAACAGACCCCAGATGAGCCCAGACGCTCTGCGGCTCTTGTTAGATACCTACTAAAGAATGGGATTTTTACAGAATCCTACACATCTACAAATCTACGTTCCCAATTTGCAACAACATATATTTTATATTCTCCTACCCGTTTCGCGTATAACTCTGCACGTACGCAATGATTGTGTGTTACATCACTGCTTCTGATCACAGCTTGCTCTTTCCTTGATGTGTGATAATCTATTACACACTCATCTACTAACTCGCATTGTATTTCCCCAGAGCTATCTGAATTGGCGAGCGAAAAACTCGGTTGATGAGTCGGATTTACCTGGCCTCTCACAATACAACTGGAAACAGGTATTCGTGCAGGCAGTATAAGCCGCCACGGTCCAGCGTCGCGCAGTGAAATCCGTCCTTACGATGAACGTGCCCGTCGATTCTCATCCTTACGCATATGTAGGCGAAGAGTTATGTGGCCACGGAGTTGGGGAGGTTATGTTTTGTTACATTAACGCATCGATCGTGACCGACATTAAAGTCGATAATTGTGATAACGACGACGATGACAATGACGATGACAATGACGATGACAATGACGATGGTGACGATAAACAATGTGATGATAGTGACACGTAAGATAATGCCGTGATATATAATTGTGACAAAGACGACGACTACGACGACGAGGACGACCACGACGATGACGTCGATGACAATGACGATGGTGACGATAATCAATGTCGTGACACTGACGATGACGACGGTAACCACTATGGCCATGCTAACGCGTCTTTCTTTGCCAGCTGTGGTTTCTAAGCATGGCGCAGGAATGGTGTGGGATAGAGCGAGACGAGAACGCTGTGTTTAGCCTCATGACGTCCGTTCACCCGCCCGACAAAATCAGGTAACGTGCGGTTAATAGGCGTAACCCTCGGCTACTCGCGAACGTACAGCAAGCAATCCCGCATTGAAACGATACGACTTGTCAGCATGCATACGCATTTCACAGGAGCGAAAGTTGTGCATGCGTGTTCGCGAATAAACATTTATTCAAACCTTGAGGGCATGAAGTTAAAATTTGCGTGGCAGTTTCAGGTGAGTGCTTTGTTTGCGTTTTCCAAAAGATTATAATTTATAATGCAAGAGGCACGTTATGGGTTAACTGGGCGTATACCATTCTCACCACAGCGATGACGTGACCACTGGTTTTTGATTAAATTTAGGTTAAATTTAGATTAAATTGGATTAGATATGGATTAAATTGGGCCGACATAACAAACAAGAGTGCGATTTTCATCTCTGTGGTGAGATTAGTCGTATAAAAGACGGCTACTCCAAATTAATAAAAACATGTTCATTTAATCGCACCTTCGGGCGCAAGTCTCTCAGTCTCCACCTGCCCGCTCATCATTCCAGAGTGAACGGGCCCGTTTCCAACAGCGAAGAATTCGCCGAAACGTACAACTGCGCAGTTGGAAGCGCCATGAACCCGCGACGAACGAAATGCGTGATATGGTAAACAGCGCTTTCGTCCAGCGTGCCGATGACGTCATCGCGCGACGCCAGTGCACTCGTGTCGCATCAATCATTGTCGCATCGTCGCTGCTGTGCTCCGGCACTCCTTATCGGCAGTCCTTATCGGCACTCCAGCATCGTTATTGTCCCATCCCTTGCCGACGACGACGGCGACGGCGTACGATGTCAGGGGACGCTCGAGAGTCATTAAGGAGAGTCAGAATTTGCACATTGATACAAGTCGTCTGCCTTTGTGGATTCAGTTTTCATCAAGGTCAAGGTTACCCGTGCACCGCCAGGAGCCTGCCGCCGCCCAATGATGTCAAGGATGGTTTTCATTCACCGCGCGGGTTGTTACCGGCAACCGCATCTTATGACGCTCAATTATTATTATGCCTGCTGTTGCATTTAGCGCTGTAGAGATAGAGGTAGCCCCTTACGGTGGGCATCACACGCGTGTGCACGTACGCGCGCCTGCGCGCATATACACGCATGCACACACGCACGCACGCACGCACGTAAATATACACACCCACCCGCATACACATACATCCACATACACTCACATACGCACGCATGCACGTACGCACGCCAAGCCATCCGCACGCACTCAAATACTATAGTACCCCCTTCCAACCATGTGCACCCCCCGCACACACGCACGCCCACCCACACACACGTACACAGACATACACATACAGGTTTACAAGCACGTACACACACACGCACTTACACGTACATACACGTATACACATTAATTGACACTCGCGTATATCTATGTATAACGTAACTCCTGTTTTATTTACACTTGTGATACTTCCATGTTAAATATAATAAATGTGTATTAAATGCATCAGGAAATATAACACAGTATACTCACATTATATCAGGATTATATAATAAATTCATCATATGAATGCTTGATTATATGCTACATTCTGCATATTTATAACCGCGGCTGCACGATATACAACACACTGGTTTCGAAAGCTCACGTTTCACATCACCGCAAAGAATTTGTTTCAGAAATAATAAATCGACATAACTCGACAGGTGATTGCTCCCAATCCATGTTAGTTGAACAAACACGGTGTATGCATGGTGCATATAGACATCCGGCTATTTATCCGTTTGTAGATGCAGATTGTGTTACATAGCTTATACGAATCGCGACGCATTGTTTCATGTAAAGCCATGTTTTACCACGTTGTATACAATGTAATGTGTGTATTTACTGTTCGTGCAATTCAACGCCTGTGAATACACACGCTTTATGTGCGCCCGCGACTTCATTGTGCTGATGATTTATAAAGTACAGGCGCCATTGATAAATGTACATACCTGTACGTTTTATTTGTGTAAAATCATAGTTCTGTATAGAGCAAACACAACCGGTGCATGTTCACAGTAGCATATAGAGCAACGGACTCACATTAACCCTGATCGCGACACATTCATTTCCAAGCATATATACATTCGCATGTGTAAGAATGAAGTGATATATATACACATGCACGCACACGGTGTGTGTGTGTGTGTGTGTGTGTGTGTGTGTGTGTGTGTGTGTGTGTGTGTGTGTGTGTGTGTGTGTGTGTGTGTGTGTGACACACACACACACACACACATGGAGATATTTGTATAGAGAGAGAGAGGCAGAAAGAGCTCTAGGACATACTAATGAATCTCAAAACTCAAATCACCTTGGTAAAGGATCTCCCAGCGACACCCGCACACCCCACTAAGCATTCGTATAGTACTCGTCCATTCAACTACTCCGTGGATTCTGGTGGATTAATTTACATTAGTGATTTTCGCCTGCATGCGCGCGCGTGCGAGCACAGCGCGAGCGTCAAGTCTTTAACAAACAGCTCTCATGTATGAGTCGATGTGATAATCAATTAATCAAATAAATCACTACTAGCTGAAACGAGATGCGCAAATCCTCACTCTCGCGCTCTCTTTCTCTCGCTCTCGCTCTCTCTCTCTCTCTCACTCTCTATCTCTCTCTCTCGCGCGCGCTCTCTTTCTCTCTTTCTGTCTCTCACTCCCTCTTTTTCTCTTTTCACTCCCTATCTCGATCCCTTCTCCTCCCTCTCTCTCGTCCTCTCCGTATCCTAACCCCTGCACTCGCCCTCTCCCTCCCCTTCTGCCTCTGCCTCTGCCTCTCCCTTTCCCTCTCTCTACCTCACCCTCTCCCTCTCCATCCCCCTCTCCATGCCCCTTTCCTCCCTCTCTCCCTGATCGTTTCATTCTCATTCGCCATCTTCCCCTCTCTCTCTCTTCGTCTCGTTCTCCCTCTCCTTCTTCCCCTCATTTTCCCTCTCCCCCTCTCTCTCTCTCGCTGTTCGTCTCGTTCTCCCTCTCCTTCTTCCCCTCATTTTCCCTCTCCCCCTCTCTCTCTCTCGCTGTTCGTCTCGTTCTCCTTCTCCCTCTTCCCCTCATTTTTCCTCTCCCCCCTCTCTCTCTCTCTGTTCGTCTCGTTCTCCCTCTCTCTCTCTTCCCCTCATTTTCCCTCTCCCCCTCTCTCTCTCTCTGCTTGTTTCGTCTCTTCTCCTTTCTCCCTCTTCCCCTTCATTTTTCCTCTCCCCCCTCCCCTCTCTCTCTCTCTCGCTGTTCGTCATCGCTCTTCTCCCTTTTCCTCCTACCTTCATATTTCTCTCCCCCCTCTGCTCTCTCTCTACTGCTCGCCGCTTCGTCTCGTTCTCCCTTCCCTCCTATCCTCATATTTCCTTCCCTCCCCCCACCGATTATATGCCCTTCTTGCAGCGCGAGTCACGTTAACTCGCAGCGACAGCCTCCCCCCTCCCCCAACCCGGTCTCGTGCGATAGCGTTGACTGTCGCGCAATGTGAAAGCCTCGCAGCCGACCAAGGACGCCGACAGTCTTACAATTAATTAGCTTATATGGTGGCGCGAACACGGTGTCCCGCCCACTTCTAATCTCTTACCTCTCTCTCTCTCTCTCTCTCTCTCTCTCTCATCTCTCTCTCTCTCTCTCTCTCGGTCTCTCTCTCTTCGCCTCGGCGCTCTCGCCTCTCGCCTCCTCGCTCTCGCCTCATCCCCCTCATCTCTATCCTTCTCTGTCTATTATCTATCATATCTATCTATCTATCTATGCTATCTATCCTATCTATCTATCTATCTATCTTAGTCTAATACTATCTATCTATCTATATATATATATATATATATATGCTTTCTCTCCCTATCTATCTCTTGTCTCTCCCTATCTCTCTCTCTCTTCTCTGCTCTCTCTCTCTCTCTCTTTCTCTCTCTTCTGGCTCTCTCTCTCTCGATCTCTATATATTTCTCGCTCTTCTCCTTCTTCATATGCCAAAGCTTAGATCTATATTGCCGCATCAGCTTCGCGCACCAGCTTTGCCGCGACTACGCACGCGCGCGTGCATATATATATACGGCCTGACGCTGACGAAATAACATGAACGAATCTGATCATACGTCGCCGCCGCAGCGTGCACACTTAAGCGAACAGACGACGTATGCGGCGGTCTTCTCGTGTTTGCTAGCGGGATTAATGTAGAACAGGAGTGCAATTCCCCATCTTCTTGCCCGTCAGCCGATCGCCACTCCTTCCACTACATGCCGAGCGCCTGCGATCTGCCGCGCCCATGCGCGGGCACGCGCAATGCTCGTGCGCGATCTGACTAAATAGATATCCTGTGTTTCGTAACGATTAGCTGGATATCGTTGGAAATATAATTACAAGCGGCGCGCTATCAAGATGTCAGCCGGGCCGTGGCCGCTGCGTGCGGGGTGCTGAATGCCTTGCATGCGTTTCGTTGTCGGGCCTTCAAGAGGCTCCAACGACGGCTGGCCATGAATATATATTATATACTATAATATCATATATATATTATGTATATATATGGCGTTGTGGCCGGGCTTCAACTGTCAACGATTCATGCTGCCAAATTATATGCGGCAGCACACGAATCAAGCACGACGACGATGCTGCGAGTGCTCGGTAGACGGTGATTGTTGTTGCTGTTGTAAGCATGCTGCTGATGATGACGCGACGACCGAAACGATTGCTTCTCCGATAGCTGCGTGGACGGTGCATGTTGTTGCTGTTGAATATCGATGTGATGCTCTATGATGATCATGATGGCGGGGTGATGCACGCATGAGGATTGATGGACGACGATTGTGCCATGATGTCTGCACGATGACTGAATATGATGCAGGGTGATGACGACGTGCATCTGTGATTATCACGATTATGATAGCCATTATTGAAGCAACAGAGGACCGTTACGATGCGTTGTTGTCGGCGATTAGCTGACGACGTCGTATGACGACGACCCATCATAGGATTGCCCAAGCATGATGTTGTCGCCATTTTCTTTGCTCATCGATGCACCGTGTTTCGAAAGTTTATGCCACGCCCGCGCACTAGAAACACAATTAATTTAGACGTGGTTCCTCATTTTGCTTAACGTCCGGCTCGTCAACCTCATCTCCCTGAGCCAAAA